GGCTGTGAGAAGTATTATCAGGATTAGTAGTATAAGCAACAGATAAACACACATACACAATGGATTATGAACCCTAATTCACAATGCTAAAAGAATGAGGGAAGAAGAGGAGGAGATATGTTCACAGTGTGCAAGATACTCAATGAAATAGAGATTTTCAGTGACAGAATGGTTACCACGAGTTAAACGCTGTGGTACAGATGAACATCCAACACTCAGATGACCGATAAAATTGTTAGGTAACATTAATGGAGAAAACAATGTGTTACGGACACTGGAACTTCGACACGAATAAGGCGAGAGAAAGGTTTACGACGACGTTTCGGTCCGACTTGGACCATTTACAAAATGCGTGTTATTTGTGTATTGTTCCAGTCACAATATTGTGCCTTTTTGTTCTTTCCTGGACTTTGAGATAAACGAGTGTGCAGGCCTATAGACGGACACAGACAGACATAGAGACGCGATACATAGACGTGCATACCAAACTATATGCAGACCAAATACAAATACGGAATACATCCAGACAAACCAAATGCAAAGACAAACGTACAGACCCAGAACAGACGTACACATAGACTTACAAACCAAATACAAACAAGGAGCAGGCGTACAGACACGTAGAGACGCAAGAGGAACGTACGGGTGGTCTAGCCTCCGGATATTTACGGTTACGGTCAAAAATACTAATGAAATTCACAACCAATGTGGTATTCGTGCCCTAAAGTCTGGTCCCTCAAGTCTAGCAGCAATTTGACTGCCATTGTCGGCCAGGATGTGTAGCTAGCAGCCGGCCAGCCGTCCCTAACCTCACTTAATTTACCCTTAATGACAATGATTAAAAGAATTTCGCATTGTATGGAAAAATGTATCATCTGAATAGGTTAGGGTTCCGTGGTAAAGTAATAATTTGAGGCAGGAGTTATTAAAAACAGTGTTCATTTTCATTAAATAACGTGGGGGTCTTATGGGAGAATGATTTACATGACGCTCAGGGATTATTTGTTATTAAACCATACCACGGGTGGGGCTAGAACCCGCGATCAGTCACAAAACTTCAGACCGTCGCGTTAGCCACTGGACCAGGTGGCTACAATAAGATTCATCCAACTAGGTATATTTCTACACCCTAGGAAGGTTAGCATAGGCACCACTGTGACCACAAATGCAATTTTTTACAGACGAATCTCCCGCTAGCGTGGGTGTGACGAACTCTAGCTCAAGTCCTCTCAAAGCCGTCAACATGACTCACGAAATCGTAATGACATGATTGCATTTGTGGTCACAGTGGTGCCTATGCTAATCTTCCCATGGTGTAGAAATATACCTAGTTGGATGAATCTTATTGTAGCCAGCTGGTCCAGTAGCTAACGCAACGGTCTGGAATTTTGTGACTCTGATCACGGGTTCTAACCCCACCCGTGGTATAGTTTGTTTGCAATCGTGTCATTGCAATTTCGTGAGTGTTTATCTGGTGTCATTTACTTTGTATATTTTGTCATCCTGGCCTACTTAATTTTTCCTAGCCTACACACTATCGTAGCCTACACACTATATCGTAACCGACATAATTTATCCTAGCCATGTATAATTTACCTTAGCCATACATAATTTATCCTAGCCATGCATAATTTATCCTAGCCATATATAATTTATCCTAGCTATGCATAATTTATCCTAGCCATATATAATTTATCCTAGCTATGCATAATTTATCCTAGCCACAAAATTTATCCTAGCCATACATATTTATCCTAGCCATACATAATTTATCCTAGTCATACATAATTTATCCTAGCCATACATAATTTATCCTAGCGTTACATTTATTTTTTCTTACATTATTTATCTTAGCCATATATAATGTTTCCAAGTCTTTCATAAATTATTCTGACCTACGTAAGATTAGCTAATCCTGAAATTTGTATCTTTCCCCTTGAATTTATTCAAATCTAAATTCTTTTTTATCGAGAAAAAGAAATAATGCTGTATATTTCCAGGCCAATTTGAGTTCAGTCCTCAGGTCGAGACGAGGCAGCAGCTCCCACGAGATACACTGAAGCTGGTCAAAATTTCTTGTAAACACGAGAAAAATAAAGTTTTTACCGTTGGTCTGAAATGGTTATTCTAGAACACCCAAAACAGTGAATTAAAAAAAAAGAAACTATTGAATTTTTTTTCCCTCCCTCTATGAATATTATCCCTTGGAAATTTATTTGCCGAGCAACTCAAAATCATCATCATCAATTTTTAGGAACTGATATTCTCTCTCTCTCTCTCTCTCTCTCTCTCTCTGGCTAATTCTTCCACCACCTCTTCCAATTTTCCTAGTATTCTAAATCTTTATCTTAATCTCCCCTTTACATCCCTTACTTTTTTTACATATTTCCGTTTTTCTAACTTGGCTACCCCTTCTCATCCTTCGGAGTGGACAGTTGAAGTGATGCCGCCCAAAAACAGAATCGAATGGTTCCTGCTGCACACTTGTTAATGGTTGTGTTCCTGGGTGTGGGCCATTATCACTAGTTAGTGCGTAATGACTGGCTGGTAGGAACCAGTCACTCACTTCTCACTTAGTCGACACCTGAACAACTTAGGGTACAAATGGTGATAAGTACTGATAGGTATGTAAGAAAAAAAAACACGGCAAGTAGGACATTTATTAAGAACATAAGAACATAAGAACGAAGGAACACTGCAGAAGGCCTACTGGCCCATGCGAGGCAGGTCCAAGTCTCCTACCGGCTTAAGCCAATGCACGTTTCGCCCACCGGGGACCTTATCAATCTATTACAAAGAAAACAGCGTATATAAAAATGGATCTAGTCAGGTGCTGGGGCTAAGCTAGGTGATGGCTGTGTTCTTCTTAGGTACGATGTGTTTAGCCTGTTATTGATGGTAGCAACGAGCGCAGGGTGTATCCAGGGTCTGCAACGCACGTCTGGAAGTCCTTGAGAGTGTCGTTAAGTCGTCCCATTAGCAAGCTTACGTTCACTGATATATTGTTTGAGGATCTTAGATATTTTCCTCCACATGTAGATGGCGTAAATCTCCAAGACTGGATTATTTGTTATGTGTTATCTGTGGTAACAAGCTCAACGAGTCTTGCTATACAATTAAAGTTGTGTGTTGTCAGAAACCCGTCCAACTGGGAGAACAATGTACCGATCAGGTGTCTGCCTAGTGGTGTGCAAGATTTTACCTGCCTTTCTCTAGATGTTGATTAAATGTGTTGGTAACTGTATCTTGGAAGAGGTTATATATATATATATATATATATATATATATATATATATATATATATATATATATATATATATATATATATATATATATATATATATATATATAAAACAACACTGCTTCTAGCCGAGGATTCGAACCCATGTCGTTTTGGCCCGCCTCATGGTGAACGAAAATCACATGATTGTGTGGTCCTGTGGGTTAGAGCGTCATGTGATTTTCGCTCACCATGAGGCGGTCCAAAACGACATGGGTTCGAATGCTTGTCTAGTTGCAGTGTTGTTATTAAATATATACATATATATATATAACTGGAGAGAGAGAAAGAGAGAGAGGGAGAGAGCGAAAAACTGGCATAGGCCTAGATTCAAGGGTCTTCAAACAGCACGCCCTGCCCCCTCATCCTGCTCTGTAATTACCTATGCGGGCCGCAATTAACACGGTCCCCATCTCCCAGTGGAAAAAGGGGATATTCGAATTAAGGGGAAAGGGGGTAAGGAGAGAGGGAAAGGGAATGAGGATGTTGAGAACTAATGGCTGGCTGATGGCCACCAGTAGTGTGATCTACGACCTACCTACCACCCGTGCTGCATCATACACTGTAATGAAAGACATCTCAGGGTGTTTGACTCAGGGCTGGGTGGCACGCAGGGAGAATACTTGGGAGTACATATGAGAACAAGGCAGTGCTATGAAAGCACATGGAAGTACATGAGGGTACATGGGAAAGCATGAGAGTAGTTGGAGGTATAGTGAACCGCATAGAAAAAAGTAAAGAGCAATATATTCTCTGGTCTACAAACGAGATTATCTGCTTTGTGAATAAATGCCAAGCTTCCAGGGACCATAACAGCCACTGTTGTGTATCTCTCTCTAGTTGAAGCAGAGAGAGAGAGAGAGAGAGAGAGAGAGAGAGAGAGAGAGAGAGAGAGAGAGAGAGAGAGAGAGAGAGAGAGAGAGAGAGAATGTCGAAGTCCATTTTTACCGGAAAATACTTAATTATCGTCCAGGAAGTGTGCGATGGAGATGGAGTGAGCGCAGCGGGGGTCTCCACGATGAAGTTATTCTTTAATTATGAATTTTTTTTTATACATCAGCAGAGTGGTTCTACCCTCCTCTCGGTGTGAACACCAGGAGGGTGCTTCTACCCTACTCTCTGTGATAGTTACTCAGTATGAACACTAGCAGGACGCTGCTCCTCTACTCTCTGTGCTAGTGGGAACACTAGCTAGCTGTTTCTCTGTCATATTCCATCACGCTAGATGACTCTCTTCCATCTAGTGATAAATTTTGTCAGACTGAGCTGGGAAATTTCAACAGGGAAAAGTAGTTGGGAGGGGATGGGTAGAGAGGGGAATAGTAATTGCCGAATGGACATGAGGACGGGATATAGGAAAGAGAAAGAATAGAGGATTAACTGCATATGTGAGAATAGTTTAGGAATTAAATTAGTTAGCCTGTCATATATAAAAAAATAATCACTTTTATGTCATTATCTGTTGTATGTGTGTGTGTGTGTGTGTGTGTGTGTGTGTGTGTGTGTGTGTGTGTGTGTGTGTGTGTGTGTGTGTGTGTGTGTGTGTTTGTGTGTGTGTGTGTGTGTGTGTGTGTGTGTGTCTGTGTGTGTGTGCGTGTGTGTGTGTGTGTGTGTGTGTGTGTGTGTGTGTAAGAGAGAGAAGGAGAATGCACGTTTTATACCTTTATGCCATGTCTCTGATAACCCATCATTAATGACTTTTTCCTGTTTCTTCCTTCAGAAATACTTGAGGGTAGACCAATGCAGACACATGCGCAGCAAGCGACGTCACCGCAGAGAGGCCAGAAGGCCCTCGAAGAAGCCTCCCGTCTGTCCCTTCAGCAACAGGGACAAGGAGATCTTGCAGAACCCAAAGGGGAACCTCCGCTGCGTCCTTCACGAGACACAGGGAGGCTCCGGCTACACTTACATCTCCGTCGAGAATAATGCCAAGTACCTGGGCGTGAGGGCAGGGCGAGTGCAGAAACTCCTCAGCAAAAGGAATTCGAGAAGAGAGCCTAGGGAGAAAAACAGACAATTCATGGTAATGAGCCAAGGGGACATGTTCAAAATCAGTAATGCGCTGTGTGAGCGCTGAGACGCTGGCGCCTGGGACACTGTTTACATGAAGGTTTTAAAAAAAAATAAGAAAACACACATGAGACCTTACACGGTGTGGCCTGTTGGGATTAGATTCCGCTCCAGAACATCGTGAACCACCGGGCGTGGAACTGAGTGCCCTGTTGGTGTCCTGTCTCTGGAAGACGTGCAGCTGTGTGTGTTTTGGGTGACGTGTGTGTTCACTCAATCGAGTCGCGAGTGCTCGCTTAGTCTACCTGTGTGCGCCCTTTTACCCGAGCTTCTCTATTCACATTGAGTGCTTCGGTTCTGCCGTTCAGTGTGTGTGTGTGTGTGTGTATGTATGTATGTGTGTGTGTGTGTGTGTGTGTGTGTGTGTGTGTGTGTGTGTGTGTTTTCGTTGTGGGTCACCAGGTTTAGGACCGCCATCACTCTCCTGCCTTCAAGAGTGCTACTTCTGGCTCACTCGCCCTTCCTCAGCTTTCAGAAGTATAAAGCCTCATTCCTTCCTGTGGGAAGTGAAGCCTCTCCCGGTAGGCTTACTGGATCATCACTTATTAGCTCCGACGGAAGGTTATCCTGTCGTGAATACCTGAAGGAAGAAGCTGTGACCTGGATGGAAAGGCTGAAGACCCTGAAGAATCTACAGTCCCTAGTTGAAACATTACTAATAGCCGGCGGGAAGCAGAGATGTATTGTGTGATGAACCATTGGTGTTACTATCTTATAAGATGAACTGCTGGTGATTTTAGGTGAAGCACTATTGACCTCAGTTGAGGCACTGATGCCTTATGTGAAGCACATATGCCCTGAGCCTCGTGGTCAACCTCAGTAAAAGATCTGAAGCTGGTCTATATATTGTATAAACCCCCATATACTAGTCCTTAAATTTTTAGACTTACAATAGGCTAGTGAAGTGTATTGTAAATATCGTTCTATCAGATTTTACGATTTGTAAAAAAAAAAAAAAAGAGTCAATTTTTAAAACTTGCGTAAATGTAATACATTTTACTAATGATTTATTTTTTACGAATCTTGTTTTTACGTGAAAATGATACAGAGTAAATGCCAAAGCCTTTAGGTGTAGTCAAGCCTTTTACAGAAGTGATGACAGGTACAGACACTTCATAGTCTTTTCCTAACACATCAACAATCCCCCCCCCCACTCCGCCATCCATTACAGTAAATAAGTGTACACGGGTTCTCATGCACCGTCACATACAGATGTATGAGGCGGAGTAGGAAGGTCTGGGGGCGGATACCCTATCATCCCCTTAACTACGAAATTAAAGCTTTACAGAGAAAATTCTTTTTCAGTCTAGTTAGTTACTCATGCTGTAAGTTTTATGTTGTTTAATGATAATTTTGAAATCAGGCGCTAGGAAAATATCAAGTGGAAAATTGTTCCGCTTCCCTTTAGAAAACTGCGAACACGTATACACACACACACACACACACACACACACACACACACACACACACACACACACACACACACACACACACACAAACAAACAAAGGGGTCAGGGTGCAATAGTTTGAAACTATGAACAAAAACCCGACGATTTACATCTTAGGAAACCAATCAGGTAAACCAGATGGTCCTTTCCTACCTGGGCAAGATTTTTGCCCCTCTTTTCTGCCACTTTTACGAAGGCTTTTCCTCCCATACCTATTTTACCCCCATTACCACTCTATCCTCTTCCCTTCCCACCTCGTTCTGTATCCTGGAGAGACAGTAGCGCTGGCTCTGATGGTTCCCTCTCTAGGAATTATATTCTTTAATTGATGGCTTAATGTTTATCCTTATGGATGGGTCGGTGTTAATGTCTGGAAGCGGCCATGTCTGCTGCCGTCTGTCTCACCTGTCACTTAATGTCTCACCTGTCACTCAATGTCTCACCTGTCATTCAGTGTTTCACCTGTCACTCTTCGTTAGTTCATCTCTCCCTCTCCCAGGCGTATCTCTATGGCCTCCATTTCCCCAATTTTACCCTGCCTCCCCATACTTTTCCCCCTCCCCATTTCCCTCACCATCCCGCTACTCATTATCTAAATGAAATAATATTGGTAGAATTATCGGCAAAAAGGGAAAAACGACACAAGTGCAACTAATGTGCCGTTACGGCTTGACAAAGCTCCTGGAGAGCGAAACGTTGCCACAATAAAATGTCACATTAGTTGCACTTGTGTTCTTTTGCCTAACATTAACTCCATCTATGCCATACCCCTTCCTAGAGAACATACACGGCATGACGTGTATGTTCTTAGTATATACACACTAAGAACAGGTAACGTGGAGCCATAATAAGGCTCGTATAGTCGATAGACTTGAAACCCCAATAACCAAGCACCCAAATCCTTCACTTCCTGCACCCCTTCCTTCCACCCACGCAGAAGTACCCCATCTCTTCCCACCATAGTTAACCATACAACACACTAGCTACTGGTTCTTACAACCATCTGCCTGGTTGTTAAGGGCTACCTTAACACATTCCATTCCTGATGTTAGGGTAACCCTCCCTCCCAGATTTGAAAATTTGTATATAAATAGGCCTAGTGCCGCTTTTATAATGTTTTTCAAGGGTATTAGTAAACTTACATTCCAAGAACTCATGAGTTCCGTCTGCATACACACTGTCAGGGAATGTGTCTATCTTAGCGGACGGAGGATCGAGCCTCTACCACTCCTTGGTCAGAATAACCCATGTTTCATTATTTTTCACACATTATGGTACTCTAAATAGCTATAATTATGAAACTAACTTGACAGCCTCACGGTGTTTACGAACGCGAGATTAAATTTCACACAAGTAAATGTGGCAGACTTAAATGCCAACACAAAGTTTGTTTTCTACACCTAAAATTGGCTCTTTTTTTTTTTAATTTCATATATACATTTATATAATTTGATCAACACCACAGGAGAAATCACCATGCGTGCCATATTTTGTTCATATGTATAAATTATGAGTATAAACTAAATTTTCAAGTAATTCAGCTGATTTTTGAGTTCTGAAATGAAAATTCTAAATATGATAATTTTCGAGCATTTACAGTGCTTATATATATATATATATATATATATATATATATATATATATATATATATATATATATATATATATATATATATATATATTGTGCCGAATATGTAAAACTTGCGATCTTTAAAAAAAAATCATTCTGAACCTAACGAAAAAAATATATTTCATTGTATTTGTTCAGTATTAAATTATTGTAAACTTATCTAAAATATATTTAGTTGAGTTAGGCTAAATTAAATTGCGCTTGTTATAATAAGGTTAGATAAGTTTTCTAAGGTTCTTTTGGTGCAAAATTATAAAATTTTACATTAACATTAATGGAAAAAGTATATCTTTAAACGTATAAGAGAAAATTTTAGAAAGGACTTAATTTTAATGAGTTCTTGCTAATTTACCAGTTTTACCTATTAGGCACGACATATATATTTTGAGGCAACAAAATGTTGATATTTTTTGTCATAAATTATAGATGGGAAGTTTGGAATACTTGTCCACTAGTGTTAAAGACTGTGAGAAACATGGACTTGTCCAGGATTGACTGGAGGAGGGTCCTGTGCGTCCAGGACTCACTGGAGGAGGGTCCTGTGCGTCCAGGACTCACTGGAGGAGGGTCCTGTGCGTTCAGGAGTCACTGGAAGAGGGCCATGTGCGTCCAGGACTCACTGGAGGAGGGTCCTGTGCGTCCAGGACTCACTGGAAGAGGGTCCTGTGCGTCCAGGACTCACTGGAGGAGGGTCCTGCGCGTCCAGGACTCACTGGAGGAGGGTCCTGTGTGTCCAGGACTCACTGGAGGAGGGTCCTGTGCGTCCAGGACTCACTGGAGGAGGGTCCTGTGCGTCCAGGACTCACTGGAAGAGGGTCCTGTGCGTCCAGGACTCACTGGAAGAGGGTCCTGTGTGTCCAGGACTCACTGGAAGAGGGTCCTGTGCGTCCAGGACTCACTGGAAGAGGGTACTGTGCGTCCAGGACTCACTGGAAGAGGGTCCTGTGTGTCCAGGACTCACTGGAGGAGGGTCCTGTGCGTCCAGGACTCACTGGAGGAGGGTCCTGTGCGTCCTCTACTCTCTTCTGGCATAATGTAGAAAAGTGAAAAACTATATATGAATCTCATGTAACTATTGGTGGATTGAAGAATAACAAATAATAGTGATGGTGATGGTGGTAGTGATGGTGACAATGATGGGGGACGATAATGGTGATGATGAATTGTTTGTGTATTGTGGGAGGTTGTGTCCAGACGAAAGCAGGATAAAATTCTTGATTTTTTTTTATGAACTTCCGATTAAATTTCCTGCAGATTTTAATATGTATTGTAATACAGAACAAAACATCAGCAATAAATGGGCGAATAGAGTGTTATTTTGTCCGTGTGCCACTGTACGTGCTGCCACCTGGTGGCAGAAAAGTGTAACACACAGCATAGTATTATACATAAACAGAACACATCACTCTTCCCACATTAGTTTTCTTCAGGTGTGCGGAATACATGCAAATGATTTCAATTAGGGGAAAAAAAACTTTTTATGTATATTATAAACATGTATAGGAAATAAATTTATTTTTATACAGTGTATGGTATGGCTAGATTTTTTTTTATATATAGGTGCTGTTTAAGCCTTTTATTAAACGAGAACTATTTTTTCCCCTTGTACATTTAGACTATATCACTAAAGGTTATGACTTTTTTTCTTCGTAATTCTAAAAAATTCTGAAGTTTTGTCGCTGAGAGGTTCTCAGTTGTCCCTCACACCAGGCCAGTGTTTGTTCGTTTGTTTGTGTGCGTGTATCACATCGTAAAGGCTTCTCTGTAACGCTATAGTGTACAAATGACGTCACCGGAAGCAGCTGCCAGTGTTCAGATAATCTTTCTCAAATTACGATTCACCTGTAGATATAAGAATATATCTTTATTTCTACCAGTACATGTACAAGGTATACAGACCATAGCTGACATCAATGACATACTACTATATAGAAAGCCGCTTGTTATACTGAACATTTCCCGCAAATTAGGTCAGTTTTGTCCCGGGATGCAACCCACACCAGTCGACTAACACCCAGGTACCCATTTTAAACTGATGGGTGAACAGGGGACAGCAGGTGTTTTATGGAAACACGTCTTAATGTTTTCCAACTGTACCGGAGATTCGAACTCCGGACCTCAGTGCGTGAGCTGAGTTCGCTAGAGATCAACCTACGGGACACATAATATTCTACATAAATACATGAAATTCCAAATACCCCCCACATGTATATATATATATATATATATATATATATATATATATATATATATATATATATATATATATATATATATATATATATATATATAATTGTGACCATGAACGAGTGGCATTGATCAATAACAACACTGCACTAGCCAAGAATTCGAACCCATGTTGTACTCGCCTGCCTCATGGTAAGCAAGAACCAGCCATTCTTGTAGGGTTGGGTGGTCCTATGGTTTAAAGCGTCATGTGGTTCTCGTTTACCATGAGGCAGGCCAGTACAACATGGGTTCGAATCCTTGGCTAGTGCAGTGTTGTTATTGATATATATATATATATTATATATATATAATATATATATATATATATATATATATATATATATATATATTATATATATATATATTATATATATTGTACCACAAAATACGTAAAATGCGAAGAAATCATTAGAGGCAGTGTACATGAAGAGAGAGAGAGAGAGAGCCAGTAGGTCTATTCACTTCTCACCAAGATATGTTACTCTGTGGGAAAGCCGCCACGTTTTGTCAAAGGAAATTATTTGTGGGTTTACGACCTCCTTAAAGCGATGGCTTGTGTTGGTCCCTTTGATGGCTCCCGCACGGTACAAGGAAGGAGCCTCCCTCACGGTCTAAGAAAGGAGAGAAGGAGGCAAGACGGATAGGCGAGAGAGGGACGGGAGAAGCAAAGAAGGAATTTGGTGGTATTGTCCATTTGGTGATTATTAGAGCTAACCATGGCTTGGAGTCGTTAGCGGCAGGATTTGACCCTTAATGTCTATGTCCCACTGCTCTTTTGTACCTTAAATAGCTCCCTTGTACCGATTTATACGCTGGAAAATTCGACCGAATTTATCAAAGCACTTTTTTTTTCTGTTGTTGGGATACGACTTTCTAAACATGATTTTCTTTTCTCGGGGCAAAATTATTTTTTTCTACCTCATGTTTGAAGCGTAAAATAAGAAAGTTGAGGAGGATCAAGTAGGACAATGTAGGTGCGACAGGGAGTGTTTGTGACCGGTAATGTAGGTGCGACAGGGAGTGTTTGTGACCGGTAATGTAGGTGCGACAGGGAGTGTTTGTGACGGGTAATGTAGGTGCGACAGGGAGTGTTTGTGACGGGTAATGTAGGTGCGACAGGGAGTGTTTGTGACGGGTAATGTAGGTGCGACAGGGAGTGTTTGTGACGGGTAATGTAGGTGCGACAGGGAGTGTTTGTGACCGGTAATGTAGGTGCGACAGGGAGTGTTTGTGACGGGTAATGTAGGTGCGACAGGGAGTGTTTGTGACCGGTAATGTAGGTGCGACAGGGAGTGTTTGTGACCGGTAATGTAGGTGCGACAGGAGTGTTTGTGACGGGTAATGTAGGTGCGACAGGGAGTGTTTGTGACCGGTAATGTAGGTGCGACAGGGAGTGTTTGTGACCGGTAATGTAGGTGCGACAGGGAGTGTTTGTGACCGGTAATGTAGGTGCGACAGGGAGTGTTTGTGACGGGTAATGTAGGTGCGACAGGGAGTGTTTGTGACGGGTAATGTAGGTGCGACAGGGAGTGTTTGTGACGGGTAATGTAGGTGCGACAGGGAGTGTTTGTGACGGGTAATGTAGGTGCGACAGGGAGTGTTTGTGACCGGTAATGTAGGTGCGACAGGGAGTGTTTGTGACGGGTAATGTAGGTGCGACAGGGAGTGTTTGTGACGGGTAATGTAGGTGCGACAGGGAGTGTTTGTGACCGGTAATATAGGTGCGACAGGGAGTGTTTGTGACCGGTAATGTAGGTGCGACAGGGTTTGTGACGGGTAATGTAGGTGCGACAGGGAGTGTTTGTGACGGGTAATATAGGTGCGACAGGGAGTGTTTGTGACGGGTAATGTAGGTGCGACAGGGAGTGTTTGTGACGGGTAATGTAGGTGCGACAGGGAGTGTTTGTGACGGGTAATGTAGGTGCGACAGGGAGTGTTTGTGACCGGTAATATAGGTGCGACAGGGAGTGTTTGTGACCGGTAATGTAGGTGCGACAGGGTTTGTGACGGGTAATGTAGGTGCGACAGGGAGTGTTTGTGACCGGTAATATAGGTGCGACAGGGAGTGTTTGTGACCGGTAATGTAGGTGCGACAGAGAGTGTTTGTGACCGGTAATGTAGGTGCGACAGGGAGTGTTTGTGACCGGTAATGTAGGTGCGACAGGGAGTGTTTGTGACGGGTAATGTAGGTGCGACAGGGAGTGTTTGTGACCGGTAATATAGGTGCGACAGGGAGTGTTTGTGACCGGTAATGTAGGTGCGACAGGGAATGTTTGTGACGAGTAATGTAGGTGCGACAGGGAGTGTTCGTGACGGGTAATATAGGTGCGACAGGGAGTGTTTGTGACGGGTAATGTAGGTGCGACAGGGAGTGTTTGTGACCGGTAATGTAGGTGCGACAGGGAGTGTTTGTGACCGGTAATGTAGATGCGACAGGGAGTGTTTGTGACCGGTAATGTAGGTGCGACAGGGAGTGTTTGTGACCGGTAATGTAGGTGCGACAGGGAGTGTTTGTGACGGGTAATGTAGGTGCGACAGGGAGTGTTTGTGACCCGTAATGTAGGTGCGACAGGGAGTGTTTGTGACCGGTAATGTAGGTGCGACAGGGACAGTTTGGTTACGACAATGTAGATACGCAAGGTAGTGTTTGGGTACGATAATGGTCAGCGGGACAACAAGTGTTCATAGTTTAGGTTTGAAAAATTATTTCTCATCGAACCCCCACAC